AGGCATTTCTCACGCAGCTAAGCCATGGATGGACAACCATGGACAACAGATATTGTCTAGTGGGAAAAGCATGGGATTTGCGGTCATGTTCTCAGTTTGTCATAGCTTTCCACCTACTAGGTAGGTGATTAGCCATTTTCCTCCACTTGAATCAACTCATAAGCACAATGAGGAAAATATTAATAACATAGATGTCATACAGGTGTCTCAAGGATCAGGTCAATGATTTCATAGCCTAGTGCCTGGCCCACTCTCAATCTTTATTCATTGGGTAAACAGAGAGAGATGATGGATCAGTGAATGTACTTCCCACTTTTCCTACCTCTTCTGCCTTTCCTCTTCCTCCTCTCCTATACTGATCTTGTTACTGCCCTTCACATACATCAGGCTATTTCCTGCCTCAAAGCCTTTACCTTGCTCCTGGGCTGCCTGAAGCACTCTTTCCCCAGTTGATGACCTGGCTGATTCTTTGTGCAGATTTTACCATCTTAAAGAGGCCCTTTTCTGAACTGTGTCTAAAATTGCCATCTCTGGCCCTAGTTACTTTCAATCTTTCTTTTCTTTAAAAATTTTAACACTATCGATAATTATATAATGTATGACTTATCTACTTGTTTGCTAACAGCTTTCTGCCCAAGAATGCCTTAAAGCTGGGATTTGGTTTTGTTCACCTAGATACAAAGAGGAGGGTAGTGATTGTTATTATATCAATGCCCCTTCCTGACCTTACTGATTCTCACCTATGGATGGGCTGGCTTAAGTTGGAGGGGTTGAATATGCAAAGAAAAAATGGGATGACCCAATGTAAAGGAGAGTGATGTTTTTCTGCACATAAATAAATATATATCTCAAAAAGAAATGTTCTCTGAATTCACTGGAACAGATAACTAAGAAGCGTTCTATTGTCATTCCAATTTCATGATAAGTCCAAAAAAGTGAGTTTATAACATGCTGTTTTGATTACTAGTTTATGTAACAATTTTATTAAGCTGATTCCAAAGCAATATGTTCCAAAGTGGTTTATATAAGGACACTCATAAAGCAGCATACTAAGCAAATAGACCAACCATCATTTGGGCTGCTAACATGAATCGTTTCCATTGTCATTTTGAAGACACTCCAAATTCTTGAGTCTAATATGGCTCAGGAAATCCAAGAGTTCGAAATTCACAAGTCAAATCAAAGGCAGTCATCAAATATAAGGATTTCACTCTTAATCTCAGGGTACTTTCAAGGACTTCATTGATTTGTATTTGGTAATCAAAGCAGCAGGCAATTGGGAAAAGCATCAGACTAATACTTTCTCCACTGGTCTGAAGGCACCTGACAAGCTTTTTTTCTTAAGAGAATGAGAATTTCAGAAACTCAAACAAAACGTCCATAGGGACTAAAAAGGAACCTGCTAGATGCATACTTACAAATGAATAAATAATCCTGAATTGCTTTCCAACTGTATACATCTCTTTTGGTATGAAACACGAGCAGATTCTAAAAGGATTCCTGAGTCTTCAAGAATATCATAATATTTAAACAAAGTTAGCTCTGTTCTAAACTTATTACTGGTCTCCTCTAGGAGTAGTAGACAAATTAGTCTTCACTCCTGAAAGAAAAATTAGGAAAATTATTGAAGTTAAGGAAATAGTTGTGACTTTTAGTGGACTTCAGCAAAATAGAGATTGAATAAGTAGATCAATAAAATAAGCCCTAAGTAGTAAATGTGTTCTTGAAAAATTAATTAATTTCGTTTGCTAATTTCTCATCCAAGGTAAATTTAAATGTTCACGATGTGGACCATAATATGAGAAGAGGAAGATCAAAAGTGGGGAGCTAGAGATCTGTCAACAATAGTTACTTATTGAGCAGCTACAGTGTGTCTAGAAAGACTTTTAGAGGACAGACTGAGAGGTATATCTCCATTAAGCTCAAAATTGAGTCGTAAAGAGAAATACAGCCAGCAAATGCCAGCAAATTTAAGTATTGCTGACTTGGAGTGGTAAGGGATGTTGTCGAGGAAGGCAGAAATGGGAATGTTTGAAAGGAGAAAAACAGAAAGGTAAAGAGAGAAGGGAGGGTAAGGAAATTGAGTGCCTACCACTGAGAACAATTTGAGACCTTGGGTGTGTGGTGCTAACTTGCAAAGTGCCCTCATACAACTTCCATTCAGTGGAGAAAAACTAGTTAAAGAAAAAAGACATACACTCTTTAAGGAAAAACTGTCTGGAAGTGAATAGAAAGAGAAAAGAAAAAAAAAATCTGTAATATATTTATGGTAAACATTTTTCACCTTTTTTCTAACTGGCTACTATTTAGGCATACTATTGTCAAAAATTTACTTACTAATTCCTTAGAATTTGACCATCATGATGTACCTTTATTTTTTATCATTTTAAATTATTGACTAATAAAAATATGACATAGCTTGTCATCAAAGCAAATCAAAACTCGACTTAAGATTGCATATTTGGAAGAATATAGCTCACTGGAAAAAATTTGAGTGTGAAATTGATGTTACAGCAAAAGAACAGTATTTTCAGAGAATTCAGATATGGATTTGTTTGTTGCAAATCTTCCCATAAATTGTCCTCAACAATTCATCTCTTTTCATTCCAATGTTTTTGTTATTTCTGCTTCACTACTGTAAATATCACAGTCGCCTCTGACCTTTCCCTCTCGCAGTATTGACTCTGTATAATATTCCTTCTGCATGTATTTGTATATTGCCCACTGACATTACCCGTTAGCCCCAGACCTCATTCCTTTTCTAATCAATGTAATAGTTTCCAGTATTTCCCCTCCTGCTAATCACAGAATTTTGGAGCCGGAAGGAACTCAGCTTAGAAATGCAATCCTAAAGCCATTGTATCCTCTGCTTCCTGATCAATCCTCCTAAAACAGGCTCTTATTGTGTTGTTCTCTGATGAAAATCTTTCCACAGCTTTCCACGACCTAATGAGGACTGTCCAGGCTCCTTTGTTGAGCATTTAAGGCTGGCTATGCATTTTCTTCAAGGCTCCGACATGCTTTATCATCCTCATGTTTTTCACTCATTGATTCAGAACTATTTTTGAGCACCTCTGTAATTCGAACTGTGCTAGAGGCTTGCTACAAAGATGAACAAGTCACAGCCCTCTCCTCTAGCAGGCCTCAGTTTAAGGAAGAGGGGGGAAAGGTATGGGGGAGACGAGTGCACCAATAACTCATTAAGTGTTGAGAATCATGGTGAAAGAGGCTGCCCAGCAAGCTTTGGGCTCAAGTGTCCAACCCTGCTATCTTGGCGACTTGACTACAATGCTGATCAAATTAGCTTCTGTTCCTAAAACACCGCCCCTCTTATCAACACTCTGTGACTTTGTCCATGCTGTTCCCTCTCTGTGAAATGTCTTTTCTCTGCTTTTCTGTATACCGAAGACAAGATCAGATGCCAAATAATCCATGAAGCTTTCCTTAGCCTCCTAGTATTAAAATACCTCTCGTGTGACTTCCCAAGGCATTTTGTCATATTCCCTCTCCCACCTAATCACACCCTTGGCTGCATTAGAGTTTATTACATCAGTGTCTTGTCTGGACAACTGTCTCTTAAGTGCAGCAATTATGATATATTCATATATCTGTAGATATATATAAACCCCCCCAAAATTCACAAAGTAAGTGTTCAGTGAATGTTCCCCAAGCTAAAATAATGAATAATAAGTTGTACACCAAACGCAACTGTAAAATAGAACAGTGAAGGGGACTGACTATACAAATTGACTTCCCATGCTTGTGATAAAACTACTGCATAAATTACTGCAGAATTAACGCCAGTAGAGAGGAGAACTACGCTAGCACTAGCATCCGCAGGCTTGAAGGGGTTACGCAGATCTAACCCCAAGGGGGGAAAAATCGTTCTTCATTGGCCTTCATTAAAGACTATTTTTAGTTCTTTTGGTAATTAAATGAACACACTGTTTATGCTCCATACACTTTAGACCCTGAGAGTCTCGGAAAATAGATGAAATTTCCAAGAATTAAAGTTTCCATTAACGCAAGTGCCAAAATCAGGACGCTTGACCTGTGGGAGAAAGCACATTTGTCTTTGCTGGCTCCTTTTCAAAAAGCTATAGATATTTACTGTACGGCCTTCCTGGTGCGCAATTACTGTTTTATCACTCAGACAATCTAGACAAGAGGAAGAAGCTGCGACGTTTCAGAAAGCAACCAATTACTGAAGACTGAATGATCGTTTCAGTGCTAACGTGTTGACAGCGGTCCCTGTTTGGGGTAACATTTCTTCATTGGAAGGGACTGAGAGTGGCTTCTATTTCTTCTCTTCTTTTCTTTCCTTTTCTCTTTTCTTTCTTTCTTTTCTTTCTTTCTTTCCTTTCCTTTTCTCTTTCTTTCCTTCCTCCCTTCCTTACTTCCTTTCCTTTCTTTCATCTTTTTTTTTGGGGGGGGGTGTTTAATTTCCCGAGAATTTGCTTAGGCTGGTGAAGACATCGTTTCACTACAGTGGGTTTTTTTTGTTTTTTAGAACATCTTCCACCTGCACCGTCCCCACTAGACGGGCATTTAGCGTGCATGCAATGTTGTATGCGCGCAGCTTGAACGCGGGGGGTGGGGGTGGGGGTGGAGAACATTTTCTGACCTCTGCATATCTGCTTTTATTCAGTCTGAAGTGGCCCGGTTATCTCCCACGCTGCAAAATAAAATAACAAAACATAAATCTCTTTACGTCAGTGAACTTGGACTCCGCAAGTTCTCTGCCCCGAGCAGAGAGCCTTTTAAAGGCTTGTGTGGCACGCTGGCAGCGGCGGGGTCGCGGCTACCGGGAAAAGAGCCGGCTCCCGGTCCGCCTGGCCCGGCCGGCTCCCTCCGCCCGCGCCGGCTCCCGGGACCGCCGCGCCGCCCGCGACACCGCCGCCGCCCGGCCCGCGCGCGTCCCGCCCCAAACCGGGAGGCTGATTTGTGGCGCATCCCGCCCCCCCTCTGTCTCCCACCACACCCACCACAAAGTCCGAGCCCCTCCTCCGCCCCAGGCAGCGGCCCGGGGAGTCGAGGAGCTGCGCAGGGGGGAGGGGAAGAGCGACACCCATCCCCCTTCCGCCAGCCCACCCCGCGTTTGCGATTCAGTTGCACCTTTTTATTATTTTAACTCTTCCCCCAGGACGAGCAGATCCCCCGGATCTGTCCCTCCGGCCCGGGCGGCCCCCGCTCCCGCGCGCAGGGATGGCCGAGCAGCGAGCGACCTGCCGGCGGCGCGCGCTGCCAGGAGTGCCGCGCCGCTGCGCCCGCGGCCCCGACTCTGTAAGTCCCAACGCTCCTCCCGGGGAGGGCGGGGGGCGGGGGTGCCCGCGTCCCCGCAAATGATTTAAAATGCAAAAAAAAAAAAAAAAAAAAAAAACTCAGCGGCGGTTAGACAGAGCTGGATGGACTTTTCTCCGGGCACACTCTCTACTTGAGTCTACCGCAGCCCGATCTGGGTTTCCTTCCCCCTGCAGCTTGTACGTTGGATCCCTTCGTTGCAAAAAAAAAAAAAAAATTTTCAATGTATAATATGATGAATTCCATAGGAAACTTTTTTTTGTCGTTTTTTTTTTAAATGCATCTCATACTTCCTTCGAATTTAAAATAATGCTTCATAATTTTCAAGCTCCGTAGCGCATCGCTTATTATTTATTATTCTGTCAGATTTTATTATTTTGCCACGGCCTTGCCTTTTGCTTACTTCTGAAAATAAGGGAGGAGGAATGTCTCCTCTCTAATAATGGCACCTCATCGAAATACTCTTAATGAGTAGATCGAGCTGGGCTTGATTTTCGCAGTGGACGCCACGTGCTTGTACCCTTGCGTTAAGCTGCAGACGCGGTTAACAGCGGAGAATTGTCTCTGAGCCTGCTGTTTACGGGAGGCTCCTGGTTTTGTTTAACTAAGGCCGTGCCCATGTGTGTTCAGAAGGATAAGAAAAATTGAAACAGTTCTGGCTCAGACCAGATCATGTCTCTGGGATCCCAGAACTCAAGCACTTTAAAGTGGGTTCATGTTTGGGTAAATAAAATCACACCTTTGATTTTTGCACGTCGGATGTATATTCCTCCATACGAGGACGAATAGGTGAGGATATGGAGTTTGTGTAAGTTTTTAACCAACGTTTCCCCTCCCCCCCGTGCAGGAGGAGGAGTGCAAGGAGAGCCAGATCCGAGGCAGGTGCATAGGCTGGCTATGGTGACGGGACGATGTTGGCCAGAAAGAGCATCATCCCCGAGGAGTATGTGCTGGCTCGCATCGCGGCCGAGAACCTGCGCAAGCCGCGCATCCGAGACCGCCTCCCGAAAGCCCGCTTCATCGCCAAGACCGGGGCCTGCAACCTGGCACACAAGAACATCCGTGAGCAAGGACGCTTCCTGCAAGACATCTTCACCACCTTGGTGGACCTGAAATGGCGCCACACGCTGGTCATCTTCACCATGTCCTTCCTCTGCAGCTGGCTGCTCTTCGCTATCATGTGGTGGCTGGTGGCCTTTGCCCACGGGGACATCTATGCTTACATGGAGAAAAGTGGAATGGAGAAAAGTGCTTTGGATTCCACCGTGTGTGTGACTAACGTCAGGTAAGAATGCAGTGGGTTGCGACAGGAGTTGAAAATAGCAAAATGCCCCTTTCTCTTATCATTCTGTTTATTTTGTTGAGAGTGAAATAAAGGGTTTGTTTTAGAGCCTTCAGAAACAAACAAACAAACAAACAAACAAACAAACAAAAAGCAAAATAAAAGAACAACAAACCTAATACGTTTAAAACATCTTTTTTAAATGCAGCTTTATGGGTGAAGAGTCTGAAAATGTGGAGTTTCAGTCGTTTGGGCTAAGCCTGGAAAATATTATACCACTTATTAAAAAATGGTAGTTCAAAAGATTCCACAGAATGACTTACTCCAAAAAAGCACACAGTTTTCTGTATGAAAAAGCTGCTGTCCATAGTTTCAGTGTGCACAGATATCTCTGATCAATAAAAAATATTATGCAAATGCTAGTGACATTTTTTCCAAGACTTCGTTCACCCATGACATTTTCAGAAATAATAAGAAAAATGGGAAGACACAAGGTAGGGGGAAGTGTCCTAGATTAAAAATCTACTAAAAATAAAATGACAAATAAATATAAGCCCGTCTTTGTCGAGATTATCTTAACATAGCTTTTTTTCTTTGGATTTAGAAGTTAAAAGTTATGCTAAGATTCAAAACTAGAAAGTACTATTTTTTAATGGAAATTCGTACAAAATTTTGTAATGGAAGTTCATACAGAATTTTTGTAGAAGGGATTATGTGGAGGCAACTTAATGTTGTGATCTTTCAGAGTTTTAATAGAACAGGAACAAGACAGTTCTTAGGTGACCTAACTTTGGCTTCTTTCTTTTATATTTTAAGTATTTCAAAGATAGGTAAAATGAATTTGATTTCAGTGATTCCCTCGTCATGCTGTTAGATGCCCTAAGAACATTTAGTGGAGGTGATTTGTTTCCTAAGTTGTTTTGTTGTAAGATAGATAATTTATATCAATTGCAAAAAAATATTTACTCCGAAGTGAAACAATAGTGGAATAATACTGGGAAATTTTCCAGAACATGTTCTGAATAACATTCTAAAGTCACATAACTTCATCTTCTAAAAAATAAGAAAAAATAAATAAATAAAGTCACATAACATGCAAAGCAAAGAAACTTGAAAAATCACCATCCTGCCAGGAAACTGTAAAGAATATGACCTCTAGTGACCCTGAAATCTTATGAAGCTAGCATATCACTGCAAGCAGCAGACCCCGGACTGGGAACTTGTCCACCCTTCCATTTGCTAAGCAACTGCAATGTCAGTCCTTCAAGGAGGGTAGGCAGCATTCGTGTGCTGAGATCACACACCACAGATTTCAGGTGGAATTTTGAGGAGCGAAGCTATATTGAATTGATCCCTTGGTTTCACCATTATTTTCTTTTTTCAAACTTTTGTCTCACAGAAAATGTAGGTGAAAAACATATGTGATCATCAGTATACCAGATATATAGGAAACGAAATACTTAAAATAACTATGGAAATGTTTAGTAGATATTTGAAGTTCAAATATTATCTATAATATTTCTCTTTAGGAAACTTATTGGCACTGATGGGTGAATCATTTTCATATCAAATTAAATTTTTAATAAATCTACTAAATTATATAGTAGCTACTGATAAAAAGAGACAAAAGAAATGATAATAAACATTGATAATATTAATAAATGACAGATTTTATTCACAAGACAGATATATTTTTGTGAATAAGAAGTTATTGAGCAAATTATTAAGTATATATCATCAAAAGTGATATTGTTTCAATAGTCTTTTTTGAAGGAATTTTACAGGCTGCACTGGTTATTAAAAGCTATTTACTGGCACCTTGTATTTTTCAAATAAGATGTGTTCTGAAGCATATTCATTTCCCTGATACATTCCTACTGGTGTGAATATGAAGACAACTGTGAGATACAGTGTCAAAAATACAATGGGACAAAGTTGATTTTTATCAGCATAACAATTTTAGCATTTTAAATTGCACTTCTTAAAATTGTTTGATATCTTTTAAGGTTGTTCTATTCTTACTGATTTTATATTAATGTTACAGTTCTGTTTATACTTTAATCTCAGCATAGTTTAATCATAACAAACCATATGTAATAAAAAAATGTTTCACTAAAATACAGAAACAGAAAAATCCTTATTCCCTTCTAATGGAAATTTAAAAGTCGACTAATAATAATTCTAATTCTAATTCTTTCTTCTTTTCCTTTCCCTTCATAAGTCCAGCCATATCATCACAATTGGAAACAAATTTTTAAAATGGATATTCAGCAGTATTTCCAAATCACGTTTGACCATTTGCATTTTAGGGTGACTCACTTTCTCCTTCGTGTAGATGATTTTTTAATGAGTCAGAAAATAGCCCAACATATTTCCTCTTTCTCATTATTATTCAGTGTAGCTTTCTCTGTAACGGAACAAAAGAGCAGCTAAACACTTATTTCTTGAGATTGTTTAGCATGACAGATAGCAATAAAAGGCTGGGTCTTGCACCATGTATAATGTTTAGAATTAAATTCTTTCATAAACAATGTACAAAATATGGCACATGAATAGTCTCTCAAGCCATCAAAACGAAACATTTGGGATATTCACCAGCACACTGCTTCCTGAAGCATGGAGGCATTATCAGAAATCAGTGTTGTATCCGTGCACCTCCTCCAGGGTCCATTTCTACTCTTAGCCATGTTTTTGGACCACACCATATATCTTATTGTGTGTCGCTAGTGCAAAAAGCAATTAGAGTAGTTTTCCATGAATCATTTTAGCAACAAAAAAGAAAAAAGGCAACTTTCATACTCCACTTGAAAGCTGATCAAAAGAGTAATTTGTGTATTCTTGCTTACCCCTCATGGTTTCCTGCCAGAGTGCATTGTGTATACTAACTACTCAAATGTTTAAACATTTCACTCGCTCGTTGCCCATGGCATTAATAAGTAGATAATACCTTGACAGATGGCCGATGTGGGACTTGTCTTCTATAAAATTAGATAAGTTGGAAATAGAGGATGAGGCAAAGATTGTTTCTGTGAAGAAGCCATGGCAGCACTGGATAGGTAGTTAAGTGAATAAATTAATAATAACCAAATGTTATACTTCGCAGCCAAGGGGGAAAATAAGAATCACCTGAGAGCTTTTCAAGAGTCTTAGCCAGGTCCACCATGAACCTGTCAAATCAATGGCTGTTTGCTCAGGTATGGAGTAATTTACTCAGATATGTGTAATTTGAAAAGGCTTCCCAACAAAATCCTGACACTTGTTGGCCCCCTCCCTTTGCTTCGTTCAGAGGACTAGGCCAAATTGAGAGGATTCCAGTTCATATCAATTACGGGTATACCTTTAGCTATTGCAGTTTTGATTCCAGATCCCCACAATAAAATGAGTCACCCAAAATCTTTTGTTTCCCGGTGCATATAAAAGTTATGTTCACATTATACTGTAGTTTACTAAGTGTGCAATAGCATTATGTCTAAAAAAAGACATAACTTAATTTAAAACATAATGCTAAAAAGTGATAATTATCTGAGCCTTCAGTAAGTCATAATATTTTTGCTGGTGGAGGGTCTTGCTTTGATGTTGATGGCTACTGACTGATCAGGGTGGTGGTTGCTGAAGGCTGGGGTGGCTGTGGCAATTTCTTAAAATAAGACAAAAATGAAGTTTGCCATATTGATTGACTCTTCCTTTCATGAGAGATTTCTCTGTAGCATGTAATGCTGTTTGATAGCATTTTACCCACAGTAAAAACGGGTACAACTTCTTTCAAAAGTGGAGTCAAGGCCTGATGCGGTGGCTCGTGCCTGTAATCCTAGCTCTCTGGGAGGCCAAGGCGGGTGGATTGCTCAAGGTCAGGAGTTTGAAACCAGCCTGAGCAATAGCAAGACCGCGTCTCTACTATAAATAGAAAGAAATTAATCGGCCAACTAATATACATATAGAGAAAAAATTTAGCTGGGCATGGTGGCGCATGCCTGTAGTCCCAGCTACTTGGGAGGCTAAGGCAGGAGGATTGCTTGAGCCCAGGAGTTTGAGGTTGCTGTGAGCTAGGCTGACACGATGGCACTCACTCTAGCCTGGGCAACAAAGCGAGACTCTGCCTCAAAAAAAAAAAAAAAAAAAAAGATCACTGTCTTATATGGGCATGATTCCTGGTACCCTAAACCAATTACCATGGTAACACCAAAGATCAGATCCCAATAACAGATATAATAATGAAATAGTTTGAAGTATTGTGAGAATTACCAAAATGTAACACAGAGACACAAAGGTGAGCATGTGCTCTTGGAAAAATGGAACTCATAGACTTGCTGGATGCAGGTTGCCACACACCTTCAATTTGTAAAAAAAAATACAATATCTGTGAAGTGCAATAAAGCAAAGTGTGCCTGTACATGATCATGACAGAGTCATTTACTAATCTCTGCCTCTAATTCTTCCTTTAGTAGCCCCATATTCTCTTGATCACTTAGAGAACAAAATGAGATGAGAAACAGTTCTTTACAAATGGAAAAACATTATTTTTTAATTAAAAATACTAGTATTTTTGGAATGATGTGTTTTGTACCACTTTCTAACACTCTGCTTCCTCTATATAAGGTACAAAATAAGTGTTGGTTAATGCATATGATTTTAGAGATTATAAACAATAAAAAGTTCACTCATTACTCAGTACCTTCCATATGACTCAAGTCTCTTAAACATAGATATGGAATAAATAAGAAACATCTACCCGTTAGAGTTTTACTAAGTAAATTATGCCTTTGTGAATGAAAGTAAAGTCTTGGACAAAGTAAAGTATGCCTAGCAATATAAATATGTATATTTACTGTGTGAAGGCTTTCACACAATTGGGCCCATGACCTAGGCAACATTAATAGAATTGTATCCCAGAAGTCTGGAGGTAGATGCATGCAAGAAGAGAGAGCAAGAGAGGGAGAGCGAGAGAGGGTGTTCCAAATTAAGTTAGCTAGTCTGTCCAAAAGCATTTCATAACCTTTAGAGGAAGAAAATGAAAAGTTCAGCTCGGCGTGTTATTTCATTATTCACGACTTGACCTGATGGCGTTGTTTTTCTGATGTCACTCCTTCCAGGTCTTTCACCTCTGCTTTTCTCTTCTCCATTGAGGTTCAAGTGACCATTGGATTTGGAGGGAGAATGATGACAGAGGAATGCCCTCTGGCCATCACAGTTTTGATTCTCCAGAACATTGTGGGTCTGATCATCAATGCGGTCATGTTAGGCTGCATTTTCATGAAGACAGCTCAGGCCCACAGAAGGGCAGAAACTTTGATTTTCAGCCGCCATGCTGTGATTGCCGTCCGAAATGGCAAGCTGTGCTTCATGTTCCGAGTAGGGGACCTGAGGAAAAGCATGATCATTAGTGCCTCGGTGCGCATCCAGGTGGTCAAGAAAACAACTACGCCGGAAGGGGAGGTGGTGCCTATTCACCAACTGGATATCCCTGTCGATAACCCCATCGAGAGCAACAACATTTTTCTGGTGGCCCCTTTGATCATCTGCCATGTCATTGACAAGCGCAGCCCCCTGTATGATATCTCAGCAACTGACCTGGCCAACCAAGACCTGGAGGTCATAGTCATCCTGGAAGGAGTGGTTGAAACTACTGGCATCACCACACAAGCACGAACCTCCTACATTGCCGAGGAGATCCAGTGGGGCCACCGCTTTGTGTCTATCGTGACCGAGGAGGAGGGAGTGTATTCTGTGGATTACTCCAAATTTGGCAACACTGTCAAAGTAGCCGCTCCTCGGTGCAGTGCCCGAGAGCTGGATGAGAAGCCTTCCATCCTTATTCAGACCCTCCAAAAGAGTGAACTGTCCCATCAGAATTCTCTGAGGAAGCGCAATTCCATGCGAAGAAACAATTCCATGAGGAGGAATAACTCTATCCGAAGGAACAACTCTTCCCTTATCGTGCCCAAGGTGCAATTTATGACTCCAGAAGGAAATCAAAACACATCAGAGTCATGACAGCAAGATACTCCTAGACAGTCTTTTATCAAGTTTTGATGGTTTATGCCTGACGCAGTCAGACCGAACCAGAGCTGGAACACAATAATTTGTCCTTCTATATTTTATTACACTAAATGATATTCATATTCAAGCAACAGCACTTTCTATAGTAATAAACAATAATACACAAAGTGAAGGATTCATGGCTTGTACTTGTTTTATGCATGCAGAATTCACAGTGATATGCTTAAATTATGTATAGGAAGTGGTGTGTGCTTGTATATTTCCATTGTAAACACAAGAATTACATTGATAGTCGTAGACATTTAATGCAAAATTTGGCCAAGGAATGAGTCTGTTTGAAATGCTTAGTTAGTGAAACCAGAGATCTCTCTGTTTCTATTGTTTATTCACTAGAAATGCAAATAGAATAGGATGGAAAACCAAAATGATCATAACACCTTTTGCATATCAAACCTCTCCTTTCTCTATGATACCACACCTGGTAGGAAGCCTGAGACAAAACCCGCTTAGATCAATGTGTTTCTAATTGGATTCATTTCATTCACTTGGTCCTTCATGATGACTTGCAGAGGTTCCCTGGTCCTCCATATGCTGCCTGTTGAGCAGAACTGGACAAGGAGTCTTTGGACGAAAGCTAAGTCCTGTCTCATTTAGGACTGGGTCCCCAACAGTGACAGTCACCTCTTTCAACTTCTCACATTTTAATAGTCCCCACAGGGAAATACTATATTGAGTATTTTATTGAAACATTTTCTTTGTAGTCACCGTAGTTTTGTGATTCCTCTTTCACAAAATCATCCCAAAACTCAAGAAAAAATATTTTTAGAGGCATGTGAAAGAGATGTCAAACAGTGATACCACTTACTTCTGAGATTCCTCTCTCTCAGATCTATTGCTCCAAGAGAACTACCTTTTTGGGGGGTTTTTGTTTGTTTTTTGCTTTGTTTTGCTTTTATTTAAGGGTTTAAAATGTCCTCCTGGTTTTTAACCCAAAATATGAAAATCCTGTAAGATTTTTTTTCTTTGAATCTCCCACCTCCCACCTAAAAACTATATTCTCTTCCCATTAATATTTGAATTCAGGCCTGGCATATGTAAATTTAGCATTTATCTCATTTGCTAATATGAGATTTTCCATCAAATCTTGATGTAACCATTTTTAGTTCCTGCCTCTTTAAGGAAGTAGTGAGTAGAGAGAAATACTTGGTTACTAAGCTATGTATGGCTTTATCCTTAATATTTCATACAGCTAAACTTCAGAAAGCTAAGCTATTATGTAACCTTTCACATAGGCTTTTGGGTTTGTATTTATTCGATTCTATTTATGAACATTGAAATAGACAGATAATCATAAGTATGTTCAAATCCTATCTTAAACAAAAGATTCATGATTCTAACCAGGTGAATGGAAATTGTTTATCAGGTTACAGAGTGAATCATTCCTGAAAAAGTTCTAACCATTCCTTCGAACTCCAGACTCATAGATCAAACAGGTGCTTGAAGCTCCACTTGGATGTTGGATAAGCAGTTAAAACGTATTGTGTCTAAAACCAAATGCTTCATTCCTACTCACAAAGCCTGCCCCTCTGCCCAGTCTTTCTTCTGCTCACTCAGGCCAACACCAACAAGTCATCCTGATGCCTCTTCCATACCTTCCATGCCTTCCGTTAATTAGCAACATCTCTTGGCTCTACCTTCCAAATATATCCAGAGTATGACCAGTTCTCTCCACCCCAGCACTCTGTCTTCAGAGTCCAAGCAGGGCTGTTCATCACCCAATATATATGAAGGCCAATTGTTAGAATATCAAAACATTTCTTACATGTGGCTAAGGGAAATCTATCTTAATAACACTTAGCCCAACAGCAACTACAGAGGTGGATATCAGACCATCTCGAGGTTCTGGAACAGATGTGGGTTCCCAGCTCCCTGCCCCGTGGCAGCTGTGCAGACCCAGAAGGCAGCTGCCACACCGGCAATATGAATGCATCTCGTGCCTGCCTGCTGTCAGCAGTAGCCTAGGGTTTGTGGTGGTGACACAGGCTACAGGGCAGGTGATGTTGGGACATAGTGGGGTTGACATGCAGGCCTTCTGAGTCCAGGGGCTCCAGGGGCAAAGCCGGCTGTGGAGCACTGACAGTTCCCGCAGCCACCTTGCAGCTGCAACCAAATATTGGTGCTAAGGACCAAATGACCATCCATTTAAGTGGCAAACCCACGGAAACGTTTGATGCGGCTTCCCTATGTCAAGTCATGACTCAGATTGGGACCTCTTTTAGCTAGTGACAGCCACGTCAAACAAAAGATCCCATTGACAATTTCTAAAAAGCTGCAAATGTTTTATAGAGTATTAGAATGATTTTATGACCTATTTTTGCTAAAATGTATTTCATTCGGTAAGCAATTTTGAGAGCTATATAATTTAGTTTTAGGAAATAGGAAGACTGATGCTCTCGTTCTCCATCTCTCTCTGTATATATATATGTATAATTTTGATATATATTACATTATTATTTTACACTCAGTATTTAGGTTCTCCACTTTCACCCTAAATAGCCATGATATTCTTTTAAATCATAAATCAAATTACATCACACACCTCTTTTCTTAAAACCCTCCTTTGGCTTTTAATTTTTCTTAAAAACCAAAATTCTTACCAAAGCCCATGAGCCACGACACCTTGTTGTTAACACCCTTTCCCCTCAGTGAGTTCCCTGCTTTGCCACGCTGGCCTTTCTGGTCTTTGACACAGAGACCTATGTCCTCCGCATTCAGAGTTTGCTTCTACCTAGAGCATTCTCACCTCCCCCCCCCCACCTCTGCCCCAGAAAGCCTCAGGGGTCTTCTGTTTTATTTAGGTCTCTGCTTATCCTCTCCTGAGGTGGTAGAGTGTAGTGGTTAAGAAAATATTTTGCAGATAAACTTTCTTAAGTTTAAATTTCAACTTCAGGCTGGGCACGGTGGCTCACACCTGAAATCCTAGCACTCTGGGAGGCCGAGGCAGGAGGATTGCTCAAGGTCAGCAAGGTCAGGAGTTCGAAACCAGCCTGAGAAGAGTGAGACCCTGTCTCTACTAAAAAAAAGAAAGAAATTAATTGACCAGCTAAAAAAATATATAGAAAAAATTAGCCAGGCATGGTGGCGCATGCCTATAGTCCCAGCTACTTGGGAGTCTGAGGCAGGAGGATTGATCGCTTGAGCCCAGGAGATTGAGGTTGCTGTGAGCTAGGCTGACACCACAGCACTCACTCTAGCCTGGGGCAACAAAGTGAGACTCTGTTTCAAAAATAAATAAATAAATTTCAACTTCAACATTTAGCTTCTGTGAGGCTTTGACAAAATTAACTTCTTTGTGCCTCAATTTCCCAATATAAAATCAGAATGATTATAGTATCTACCTTAGGTTTTTTGTGACGATTGAGTTTAATGTATATAAAGAGCTTAAAAGAATTTAATTTATTCACCCAGAGCAAACGCTTGAGGTAAAGAACTGACTTGAAACAAATTAGACTCTTAGTAAATGACTAATGCAGTGCATTCTGTTGTTTTTTTCTCTAGGACAGAAATTAAAAAAAACAAAAAACCTTTGCAACACAAATCTGATCTCTTAAAAACTCCAACCAAGCTGGGCGTGGTGGCTCACGCCTGTAATCCTAGCACTTTGGGAGGCTCGGGTGGGAGGATCCCTTGAGCCCAGGAGTTCAAGATCAGCCTTGGCAACACAGTGAGACTCTTTGGCTGCAAAAAAAAATTTAAAAATTAGCCAGCATGGTGACATATGCCTGCAGTCCCAGCTCCTTGGTAGACTGAGGCAGGAGGATCCCTTGAGCCCAGGAGTTAGAGACTATGGTGAGCTATGATGATGCCACTGCACTCCAGCCTGGGTGACAGAGCAAGATCCTGTTTCTATAAAGACAAAACAAAATACTCTGTAGCAGAGACCTTACATCTGCCCGTTCCTGGTTGCTTTTTCTTATTCTTTGATACCTACCACATACCAATCTTCAAAGATTAGCATGTGTAAAATATTAAAACGTATAAAGAGAAACAGAGAAATTTTGCATACAGAGATTTCTGGTTTCATATGTCCATCATTTGTTCATTCATTTAGTAATATATATTGCACATCTGCCATTTCTGACATTTGCAATCTGCCAAAAATAACTAGGTGTGTCTATTTTCCCTCAAGAGGAATAGAAATTGATAGCCGGGGGTACGTGCCGATTCTGCTCCTAAGTAATCAGAGATGGAAAGTGTCTGGTGAGAGAAACTGGATTCCATGCCAGAATGACTGAAGAGGCACTTCCATCTCAAAATCAAATTCAAAGCCTACCCCTAGTTACTGAGCAGGCCTGGGAAGAAAGCGGAAGATTCTGGAACTGTTGCCCGGGTAGCTTTGCTGAGAGCTGAGTGAGGAAATGGAACGCTGTTTGTCCTTGGAACTATCATTTTCCCCTGCTTTACTTTATCCCAACACCAGAGTTTTATTCTTACAACTCCTCATCATTTGCCACTTAGTTCAAGGCTGTAAGTAAAAATCCTGTTGCCCCTGCACATGGCCATTTCTGAATAGCCCTTGCCAAGTGTTCTAACACATAATTGTGTCTCAGAACCTACAGTGTCCCAGCGGCTTAAGGAAATGACCTTAGTTCCCAAAGAAAGTCTAACTTTCAGAGAAGACCGTTAGTTACTTAGTGAACGTAGGGCAGCGTTTTTTTTGTTTTTTTTTCCTTCCAATAGTTGGATTCGTTTTGTTGTTGTTTAATCACTTGGCATTCCTAAAGCAAGCAGTTTCCTCTTGGATAATAAATCAATCATAGATAAAGAAGAAAGAATGAAAAGATATCTCCATCTCCTGGGGCGCCCACCCCCAACTTTTGTTATTTTCAGCGTGTAGAAGGTAGAGACAGAACTGAAATTAGTGTCTCCAAGGACCAGCGTATTAAAGCAACCACAACAAATCCTCCAGGCTGTTTTAGAGGAAACCCCAGGGCCATGCGCTTCCCATGATCTTTATGCACAATTCTCATCAATGGTGATGGGAATTTCCCCCACAGACCTAGGAAGGATGTGACTCTAATTACACTCCTTGATAATTTACTGCAAAGATAAGTTTAACTTCATGAAAACCTTCATAAGCCTTTAACTCCAGATCAAAATATCACATCAGAGTCCAATTTCATTTGAGATTATTTACATCTTCATGAGTACTGGTTTTCATGAGGTGTTCTAGTTCTCATGAAGATTTTCTTGGCTGTACCCTGTGGCACCCCTCCCCCCACGTCAATATTCCCTGGGGCAGTTGGAATTGCATTACACCGAGTTTATTTCAATTACTTGAAGAAACAAAACTATTAAGCCTCGATTTCCACATACGACTGGATTGCTTCAGTGAGTACTGAAAAAGTGGAGGATAAAACAGTTATCTGTAAAAATGAAGTTAAGATAGACAGTACTTCTTACTGAAACTGTATAGACGAACAGAGTTTTCAAATGGCTCCAATTATTTGCCACTGACTGGTGAAGAAAGCCCATCCTCTCTAAGTATGATAGTCAAGTCTCCTGGTAGTCTGATCCCAATATACGTTTCCAGCTTCATTTTCCACCCCCACCCCCAACACCTTAGAAGGCTTCGAGTTCGTTGAGTGGTTTTCTCACATTCAAGTCTGCAAGTTGTTAGAGTTGAAATTCTGAACTTGCTCTATCCACCAAAACTACTGCTTTTACACAGCCTTCTCAAATCTCCCACTTAAATTATTC